ACAGAAGGATGGTGAGAATATCAAACAGGTGACCAATAACAAAGTTTTGGAGAAATGGAAACAAAAATGACACTTATACTTAACACCCGGAAAAGAGAGTTAAACTTTATATGTTAAAATGAAGAAAAGGAGTTTGGAAAATTTGATACTCACAGGGTTGATTGATGGCAAGAGGAACAAAGAAGAGTTAAGCATAACCTACCTAGTAAGCTTGAGTAAATGGAACAGTGTTTACGAGAAATACCGAAAAGACAAAAAATATTAAGAGCTACAAAGTAAAGAAGATTGTGGAGAGCCAGATTGCTAACTCCCTGAATGGACACTGCACATAAAAGAAGTATAAGACAAAAAATATTAAGAGTTACAAAGGATAGGAAAATGTGGAGAGCCATGATCGCTAACGTCCTGAAGGGACACGGCACATAGAAGAAGAAGATTGAGCTTGGGTAAATGGACGGCGCAACAGGGTTTAGGAGAAATAACGAAAAGACAAAGAGCTACAAAGGACAGGAAAACGGGGAGAGCCATGAACGCTAACGTCTTCAAGGGACACGGCACATAGAAGAAGAAGAACGAGCTTGAGTAAATGGATGGCGGAACAGGGTTTAGGAGAAATAACGAAAAGACAAAATTTATTAAGAGTTACAAAGGATAGGAAAATGTGGAGAGCCATGATCGCTAACACCCTGAAGGGACACGGCACATAGAAGAAGAATGAGGTTGAGTAAATGGAATGCGGGAAAGGGTCTAGGAGAAATAGCAAAAATAAAAAATTCATTAAGAGCTACAAAGGACAGGAAAATGTGGAGAGCCATGATCGCTAAGGTCCTGAAGGGTCATGGCACATAGAAAAAGTACAAGCTTGAGTAAATGGATGGCGGAACAGTATTTACGAGAAATAACAAAAAGACAAAGTTTATTAAGAGCTACAAAGAACAGGAAATTGTGGAGAGCCATGATCGCCTACGTCCTGAGGGGACACCAATCATAAGAAGAAGTACATAAATAAAAAAGAAACTGTATTTTAAATGAGAAAGAAAGATCTAAGGAAAGAAAAGAAACATAACTAACAGTGAAACAAACTAAAATGGCGAGACAAAAGTCCATCAAGATAAGGAAAGGAAAGTTTGATAGAAAAGGGATTTGACGAGTGCGCTCGAAGACTGGTGAAGGCCGTGTGACGACGTTTGGGGTGTAGTGGTTGTAGTGTTGGTCAGAGAGCCGGTGGGACAAGTTTGGTCTGGGTGGTTAGCTAGTGAAGTCGACAAGCGAAAAGACAAATTGGCAGCCTGTATTTCGTATGACGGATAGGCGCTCTGTTCACTTCAAGAAGACCGCACTTCGCTCGTGCTAAACATAGATAAGACAATTGGCAAGAAGCGGGTGACATGTTTATATGTGACCACATGCTGTTACCATCTCTTATTGTATACAGTGCCATTTCCTCCCCCCCCCAAAAAAAAAGACCGGCAAAACCTCCCTAATGACTAACACATCCGCGCTCTAAGAACCGCAGAAATACGCTCGTCCACTTTTGGTATCCTCGTATTTCTTGTCTTGATATACTGTTATTTTAATCCAATGTACTCTTATCCCTTTCATCTCTTTTATGGGCCATGTACTTTTCAAGACATGGCTCTCCACATCTTCTTATCCTTCGTTGCTTTAGTTAAGTATTATATCCATTCCAGTTCATGTTCCTTCAATCATAATCCTACACAAGTTCATTAGATATATTACTCACTGTTTACCTCTGCCCTTTTTAACTTCAATGTCCTGTGAATGTCAAATTCTCTAAGCCTTCTTTCCGCATTATGTGACCCAGATTTTTCTATGTCTTTCTGATCCTAAGTGTATTTTTTTGTTTTTAAATTCTTTAGAACTTATGTTCATGGTATTCTCAACATCCTTCTGTAGAACCATATATCTATTGCTGCAAGTCTTCTTTTTCTGCGATAAAATTTTCCAGCATTCACTGTCATATAAGATGATTGATATTATGCAGCATTTGAGCACCATTATTTTGGTTTCTAAGGAAATTTCCATAAAACCGTATCCTAATTCTCTCTTACAATCTGGATAAAGCGTTAGTGGGATCCAGTGATTTGACCCAAAGTGTTGTGAGTTCCATATACAGCTACTGCAGTAGTGAACAAAAACTTGGAGAGTAACTTCAAGGGAGATAACTGAAACATCCAGAAGAGTCATGGCACGTGGATCTGGAAAAATCGAAATAAAAGGTTCAATTCGAAATTACAATCACCTGAAGAAGGGTGGGGTGTACAATGGCCGAAACGTCGCGAATATGGAAATAAAGATGAGAACAACAATCCGAACAATGTAAATAATGTAAATACAATAGTTCATCACATAAACATAGAAAGAAATTTCTGATCTGTGTTCAAGATGTGGGTGATAATAGCAAATCCCAACGTCTTTTGTGTTGGGGCGCACCCACCTTCTCATCAGAATGGACTACTAATAGGACAGTTCTATAGAGTTCTGGGAGATCAGGTGACCATCACACTTCCGTCTCTCTACCTGAAGATACAGTTGGACTTTATACTATTTCTGATTGTTACTGACTAACCTGCGTTCGTTTGACTACTAATCTCTCTGTTGTAAATACCTCTTCAGATATACCAGTATTTTTCCCTATGTATGTGTTTGTCCTTATTTCAATACGCGCACGCGGAAACACTCAACATCTCAACATTTTGGTAATACTTTCTCCTTCATGACCTCATCGTCTATTTTTTGTCTCTTTTACTTTTTGTCATTTCAACATATGACAGAAAGGTCGTTACAATTGAAAAAACATTTAAAACAAAAATGTAGTTTTACAGACAAATATATATTTAGAGATTCTTGATAAAATGCAAAGAAGTATCAGCAGTATTATCGGACTTGACCTGGCATCTCGATTTCAGTCACTATCCGATTCGCGGTAAAGTTACATCCTAGTGTCTTTTCTATAAATGCTTTCATGAGTTCTTTGCAATGGCACCCAGACTGTACGAATTTAAATGAAGTACTGGATTGGCGGCAAGGTCTCATCAATTCACAATTGAATGATAACACTGAAATAAATAAGAACTACGGAGTTGATTACTACTCTGACCTTTTTGATTTCATCTGACCTATCAGATCACCTCTCTCCACTCCGATCTCTTCTGACCGTTCTGATCTCACCTCTAAACTCTCTGATCTCCTCAGACCATGCTGACATCATCTCTGACATGACTGAACTCTTGACCATTCTGATATTTCATCTGAACCCTAATTTCCTCTGAACTCTCTGATCTCTCTTCTGACCACTGATCTCCTCTGACCGTTCTGATGTCACCTCTGAACGCTCTGATCTCTCTTCTGACCACTGATCTCCTCTGGCCGTTCTGATGTCACCTCTGAACGCTCTGATCTCTCTACTGACCACTGATCTCCTCTGGCCGTTCTGATGTCACCTCTGAACGCTCTGATCTCTCTACTGACCACTGATCTCCTCTGGCCGTTCTGATCTCACCTCTAAACTCTCTGATCTCCTCAGACCATTCTGACATCATCTTTGACATGACTGAACTCCTGACCATTCTGATATTTCATCTGAACCCTGATCTCCTCTGAACTCTCTGATCTCTCTTCTGACCACTGTTCTCCTCTGACCATTCTGATGTCACCTCTGAACGCTCTGATCTCTCTTCTGACCATTGATCTCCTCTGACCGTTCTGATGTCACCTTTGAACCCTGATCACCTTTAACGCTCTGATCCTTCTTCTTATTCCTGATCTCCTCTGACCATTCTGGTGTTTCCTCTGAATCCTGATCTCCCCTGAACGCTCTGATCTTTCTTCTGACCCCTGGTCTCCTCTGAACATTCTGATGTTTCCTCTGAACCTTGATCGCCTCCTTTGGCCACTCTGATCTACTCCGATTCTCTGATCATTTCTCTGACCTTTCTGATCTCCTTCGATTTCCCCTCTGACTTTTGATTTTTGACTCTGTGATCTCTCTACTGTCCACTGTGATCTTCTATGACGCTATCTGTTCTCTGATGTTCTCTCTCTCATCTCTCCTCTGACCTCTCTCATCTACTTTAACCTCTCTTATCCCTCCTGACTTATACTGATCTGTCCTCTGACCTCTCTGATCTCCTCCTACCTCACTGATTTAACTTCTGACTACTCCGCCTCTAAACTTTCTGATCTCTCCTCTTACCTTTTTGATTTCCCCCGACCTCTCTTCTGACCACATAACCTAGTGAAAAAGGGCGTTGGTTAGACCCTGTGACTACACCCAAAGTGTTGTGAGTCTACAGCAGTGTTGTACAAAAATTTGGAGAGTTGAGTTAAAGGGAAATAATTGAGATACCTGGAAGAGGCATGGTACGTTGAACTAGAATAATCTACTCCGGTGGACGAAATAAAGGGTTAGGTTTGGAATTCCAATCACCTGGAGAAGGCCGGAGCATACAACGGCCGAAACGTTTTGAATATGGCAATGAAGATGAGGATAACAGTCCGAATAATGTAAACGATATAAACACGCTAATCTTCTTTGACTCTTTCTGGTTTCTCCTCTGACATCTCGCAGTTGATCTCTCTGATATTCTATGATGCACTGATCACTCCTCGGATATATGTGATCTCCGCTGTCTAACTTTGATCATTCTTCTGACATCTTTGATCTCGCCTCGTGCCTTTCTACTCTCCTCTGATCTCTCTGATCTCTGACTCGTCAATCTCTCGTCTGATCTTTTCTCTGATCACTGATCGTCGGATCACTGCTCTGACCTCCGGTGACCTATCTTATCTCTACTTTGACCTCGCTGATCTCTCGTTTGAGCTCTCTGATCTTCACTGTCTGATCTCTCCTATGATCTCTCCTCTGACAGAGATAGTCTTAGGAGATAAGACAATGTCAGAGGAAAGTTCGAAGAGAGTCTGATGAAATCAGAGTGGTCAGATTAGAGATTGGAGGGAGTTTGAGGAGATTAAAGACATCAGAGAATAGATTGAAGAGAGACTGAATAAGTCAGAGTGGTCAGAGGAGAGATTGGAGAGTCTGAGGAGATTAGAGTGGTCAGGGGAGAGATCAGTGAGAGACTGAATAAGTCAGGACAAAGGAGAGATTGGAGAGAGTCTAGGAGATCAGATTGGTCAGATTAGAGATCGGAGAGAATCTGAGGAGATCAGAGTGGTCAGAGGAGAGATCGGTGAGAGGCTGAGGAGATTAGAGTGGTCAGGGGAGAGATCAGTGAGAGACTGAATAAGTCAGACAGGACAAAGGAGAGACTGGAGAGAGTCTAGATCAGAGTGATCAGATTAGAGATCGGAGAGAATCTGAGGAGATCAGAGGAGAGATCGGTGAGTGACTGAATAAGTCAGAGTGGTCAGAAGAGAGGCCGGAGAGAGTCTGAGGGGATAGGAGTTGTCAGAGAAGGGATTGGTGAGAGACTGAGGAGTTCAGAGAGGTCAGAGGAGAGATTGTTGAGTGACTGAATAAGTCAGAGTGGTCAGCGGAGAGATCGGTGAGAGTCTGAGGAGATTAGAGTGGTCAGAGAAGAGATTGGATGGAATCTGAGGAGATCATAGTGGTCAGATTAGAGATCGGTGATAGAATGAATGTAAGACTCGTCAGATAGTGATTGAAGAAAGTCTGAAGAGATCAGTGGTCAAATGGGAGATCGGTGAGAGACTAAATCTCAGGTTAGTCAGTGGAAAGATCAGAGAACTCTGAGGGTCTTAACTGAGGGTTTTAATCTTCATTCATAATTTTGCTCACCTTGTCCACACTGACTTCAAACTGAATCAACGTGAGAGGGGAAGACATGATAGAATCGATCCTCGGATCGGTTGGGAGAGAGAACTTCATGCCCACTTTTATCCACGAGTGGCATTCGACTGTCTATGAAATCTGTGTGCGGAAACCGTATCGACGCTTTAAACTCCTTGAAATGATCAAACTCTTTGACGCCCTCATTCACACACTTCTATTTATCTGCAAATGTTTATTATTATTTATGAAAGAATAAAAATATTATGTAAATGAAAATATTAAATATATTTTAATGGATTAAAGGAATTCTTCAAATGAAATGAAATGAATCGTAGAATCACTATTATAATACTAGTAATACTGATGTAATACTTGCAGCCTTTATATATATATATATATATATATATATATATATATATATATATCCAAGGTGATTGAAAAGTAAATCCCCATTTTAAGATACTTATAATGTATTTAGTAACTATGATTTTTACAAGGAATAGATATGAGAGGAAAGCGTTTAGCATGAGATTTTACTTAAAATTCGATATGGGAAGCAGATTTCGCTACCAGCTTCTCGATATACCCAGAAATCGCGTCACCTGATTTCACCAGGAATTCTTGTGGTATAAAGGACATAACTTCCAAAGTCTTGGTTTGGTATAGTCACCTTCCTCCTTCAATTAACCCCAATCAAAGAATTTATAGGATCTTTTGTCGGGACTACTATATATGTATGTGTGTATGTGTGTGTGTGTAAAGAGAGATAGATGGATCTAAACGAACTGAAACAGATATATACAGACTATATATATTTATGATGAGGCTGATATGAAATGGAATAAACTGAGATAGATATGAATATATACTGCAATAGCTATATGTATAAATCTAAACCAACTGAAATATATCGGTTAATTAGAATATATATGAAAACGCTGAAATTGATATGAATAAACCGAGATAGATATTTAGTGTTATATTACCACCCGCTGATGATACTCACAGGCGATGATATATTGAATTACCGCCCCTGACGATAATCACAGACAGCGCGAGATTTGAAAGCTTCTTTCTCTTTTTTCATTTACTTGAGATACGACACGTTTATTCTCGCTCCGATAGACATTAAGCCATGTAAGTACTTCTGACACGTATTGAAAATTACGTTGTACTGATAATATTGCTTGCGGGACAAAGGTACAAGGAAGCATAAAATGAATAACTTTTATTCCCACAGCTAAAGGGATGACGCTCTACATTATATTCCCCTGGATATATATATATATATATATATATACAGACACTTTGGAAAAGGTCATTACATCCTGTGCTGACATTTTTTCTTACCCCTCACGGCAACATGTGTAGAGTTCTGGTAGACTGATGCAGCTTTTACTCCCCAATACGATTTAAGGCCACTTCACAGCTTAAACCCTTTCTTTCACAGATGTTTATAACGAGTTAATGCCTCAACTACAAGAAGTATTTATTACAGCCACAGGGTTTCTGCTTGAGGGAGACACCAACTTCAGTAACAAGCACAGAGGAATCTTCTTCTTCAATAACATTAAACAGGGAAGGACCGTCTGAAGCAACCCTATAATCACTGCCGTTCAACCCACTGTTCACTGCTGTCTTTCCGGGAAGAAGGGATAAAATTAAAAATTCGCCTACGTTGTTGGAAAAAAAAAACTTTCAATGGAAGACGTTCCTGAAATTCTGGATTAGTTGAACGCAGTTCCTGGGTTGAATCCGTACGACTCGCTGAGACGGACTTGTTGAAACCGGTACTGTGAGCCCGAAGAAAAGAAATTAACGAACCAATGGTAATGTGTCCATCAAAAACAGGACACCTTCACCACATGCCGGGTAGGGTTTTATCACCTCTCAGTTGCGTCTCTGTCTTCAGGCAGACTGCGTCGTAGGACAGAGGCGCAACTGAGAAAAATCACGCTGTGAGGTGATCAGCCCTGAGGAACAGATACCCAAGGCTGCAGCCTCTCATAGCACAAGAGAGAGGAATCACTGCTCGCACCGAGGCCAGCGAAACCGAGGGTTGCGAGGGGACGGGAATATTTTTTTTCTTGGCCCGGGTGTACGCGCTCGGGTTGCCCACATTAAACCCGACCTTCTGTCACGTACCGCCTCAGTCGGGAGCCAGGATAAATATTCACATGAGGAATCTTTTCGAACCTCACGCCTTGCCTGAGAATATTTTGCGTCGATTATGGCATGGTTAAGATACCAAACAATATAACCCAAAATTTAACCCCTTGGGTGGAGGGTACCGACGTGAAAAACTGGCAGGAACCGTTGATTTGCGAAAACGCGTGCACACAAAACGTTAACTCAATCCAAAATCCGACTTACTCACAAATGGAGCAAATCTAGCAATTTCAGTCAGCTATATCTCACTGAACGTGTAGAAGCCATGCCTGTCAATTTAGGATAACATGCTTTGTGTTATCATAGGTGACATTCTCGTCGAAATAGACGCAGCAGCCGGCACCAAAGTCGAAAGCCAGCACACGTAATACAGAAATATGTTGGTACCGCCGTAAATTTGATACTAACACTAAAAAGGGCACAAAACCCAGTGAATTCGTACCACCGAACCAGGAAGACGCCTATTTCGACCAGTGATGATGACCACTACGTCCGGACATGCGAAGAAAAATTGTCTATTTTACGTTTGTGACTCATGTCAAAGATAGGAATTTTTTGTCGACACAGATGCCGGATTTAGCGTTATTCCTCCGATACCAGAAAAATATTTAACACCAACGCTGTATAAACTCCAATCAGTAAAATTTCTTTCTTTAAAATTAACACGTATGGTGGATAATCACCCACGTTAAATTCTGGAAGTTTTTCATACAAGATGTAAAGACACCCATACTAGGCGCAGACTTCCTCATCCATTTCAACCTTTCAAGGAGCATGACTATCAAGACACCGATAGACAACGAAACTCAACTAAACAGCCAAGGAACTTATTCTCGATATCTTTCAAAAGACATAATTTCAAAACTACTGAACAAGATTTTTCGCTAAATTCTTCATAAATTCCTAGAGAGCCAGTATTACACATCACTAAACAAATCATTTAAAACATTAAAAACAAATCAAATTTCATTTTTCAATCTGTGGGAAGTATTTGTTGGATTAACGCCCCCTGACGATAATCACAGGCATCGAAATTTTAAATCCTCTTTCTCAAGACAAGTTTATTCTAGCTCAGAAAGACACGACGCCATGTAAGTACTTCAGACACATACTGGCGTTTGCTTTGAATATATATATATTAATTGTTGTTTGTTTGAATTTCATGATTTGTTAATTATTTTCATCTGGACTCATATGAATCAGCCAAATATTGTTTGAGGGACAAATGTGCTGCGAATAATTTCTATTCCCGCAAAAATAGGAAGATAGATAAATAGATAGATCTAAACCGATTGAAATAGATAATACATGACTGTCGAGATAGATGTGATAGATGGATAGATATAGAGAGATAGAGATGAACAGACTGAGGTAGATAGATATGAACAGACTGATATATATATATATATATATATATATATATATATATATATAGATAGATAGATAGATAGATAGATAGATAGATAGTGTTATGTTGACCTATCTCCATTAGAATGAACTCTTCCTCTTTCATAAATACTAACCTGTGAGACTTCCTAAGGAGGCAGTCGACACGCCGTCTCTGACTGTGAGCGACTTCTGTCGAACTCTCTGATTGGACAGAGAGGAACCCGGACGAAGCTTTGCCGAAGGGCAAAATATCGTCCGGGGAGGTAGACAGATCCCGAACCCGCTTATGTGGGTTCTAAGAGAATATTTTTGGCCTAGTCTACGGGCTCGGAGAAACCCACGTTAAACTCGGCCTTGTGCCATATACATTCCTCGTGTGCGGACTGTTAAATATCGGTAGTGGGGACCCAGTTTAACCTGACAGTTCGAACGGACACTTCTATCTGCTGACTAATAACACTCTTATTTTGTATATATATTCTGTTATTTCAATACACTTGTTCAACATACCTTCTTCTTTCCGTGTCTTTCTTTCACAACAGATAGATAGATAGATAGATAGATAGATAGATAGATAGATAGATAGATATGGAAAGACTGAGAGGTAGATAGATATGAACAAATTGAGATACATACATACATATAAACATATTGAGGTAGATAGATATGGAAAGACGGGGTAGATAGAGAAGCAGATAGATATAAACAGACTGAGGAAGATAGATATGAACAAATTGAGATAGATAGATAGATAGATAGATAGATAGATATTGAGGTAGGTAGATATTGACAGACTGAGGTAGACAGATAGATAGAAAAGGACAGTGGCAGTGTTTTATTCGCTTACATCCAATAGTCATCATGCAATGCTTTATTAAACAAATGTCCAATATTTAAAATTGATACTCAAACGTCGAAATCCATCTCCATATATCGTAAAAATCTGTTTACTTATTTGAGAGCGGGCTCAAAAGTTATCGACCTCACCAAGAAACCTTTTCCATTTTTTTTTACTGGTATTAGGTTTAGCTTTCTTTCAGTCACAGTGGGTCAGACAGAAAAGATTTATCTCGTTATATCGATGGTTTACTAGCACAAAATAGAGAAGGAAATAAAACCCGAACGCAACGTCAGTAAAAATTTAAATATAGTTTAACGAATCCAAATGTAGTTCATTCATTTACATCAAATTCTACTTAATTCGGTTCATGACTTGATAAGATGAGTGATTTAAACTCAAGAGAGAGAGAGAGAGAGAGAGAGAGGGGGGACGGAGTGAGGGAGAGAGAGAGAGAGAGATAAAGAGGGGAGAGGGGCAGAGAAAGATTGAGAAGGGGAGAGAAAGAATGACGGGGAGGAAGAGAGAGAGAAACAGAGAGAAAGCAATAAAGAGGGGAGAGAGAAAAAGAGAGAGGCAGAGGGAGAGGGAGAAAGGGAGAGTTAAAAAGAGGCAGAGAGGGGGAGAAGGGAGGGTTAAAATGAAGGGGAGAGGGACTGAGAGAAAGAGAGAGATGAAAGAAAGAAGGAGAGGGGGAGAGAGAGAGGGGAGAAAGCATAATAGGGAGGGAGTGAAAAACAGAAAGAAAGCGATAAAGAGGGGAGAGGGAGAGAGAGAATAGGAGAGGGGGAAAGGGAGGGATAAAAAGAGGGAGATAGGGGGAGAGAAAGGAGGGTTAAAAAGAGGGGAGGCGGGGTGAGAGACAGAGAGAGAGGAGAGAAAGAGGGGAGAGGGACAGTGGGAGAGGGAGAGAAAGAATGACAGGAGAGAGAGAGAGAAAGCGGTAAACGGGGAAATAGAGGGTAAGGGAGAAAGGGAGGGATAAAAAGACGACAGAGTGAGGAAGTATAAAAAGAGAGAGAGTGGAGAGAATGGAGATAGTGAATGAGAGGAGACAGAGAGAGTGAGAGAGAGAGAGAGAGAGAGAGTAAAAATGCGTGATATTCATTGCACGAATTCTGCTACTATCGGTCATTGAACAATCATCTCTCGAGGGACCCCAGTTCCTTATCGCTTTCCCAGACTTCTCGGTGGTTCAACTTATCGCCATTATAAAACTCATTCGGTCTCTCTAACTTTCAGCAACCTGTCTTGTTGTTTAAAGATATATTCAGTCGAAAGAAGGTCGTGACGTCTTTTGACTGCCTTAGTCGACTGCCGGGCGATGGTTTATGACGAAAAGTGTTTATAAACATTGAATACATTGTCACGAGCAGACGGACAGCTGACTCCTTAAATGAAGCGAGGTCTGTCAGCACTGAGCCTGAGTGGGGCGCGTGTGTCTGCTCTATCCAACCGTAATTTTCTTCTTCTTCTTCTTCTTCTCATTTTTGTTCCTCCCCTTCTTATTCTTCTTCCTCCCCCTCCTCCTCCTCCTTCTTCTTCTTCTTTATGTTCTTCTTTGTGTTCTTCTTCTTCGTCTTTTTTCTCCTTTTTGCTCCTCCCTTCTTATTTTCTTCCTCCTCCTCTTCCCCTCCTCCTCTTCCCCTCCTCCTCTTCTTCTTCTTTTCTTCTTCTTCTTCTTGTTCCTCTACTTCTTATTCTTCCTCCTCCTCCTCTTCTTTTTTTCTTCTCTTCTTCCTCCTCCTCAATTTCTTCTTCTTTTTTTCCCTCCACCACCACCTCTTCTTCTTCTTCTAGCTCCTCCTCCACTTCTTCTTCTACCTCCTCCTCCACTACTTCTTCTTCTTCTTCTTCTTCTTCTTCTTCTTCTTCTTCTTCAATCTGAAATGAAAAATATATGAATGAATGGGCTAAGGCGTTAGAAGACGAAATGCTTCTCGATCTGCGTGACAAGTTCTACATATATGCAAATATACAAAAATGGACGTGAGAGAGAAAGAGAGAGAGAGAGAGAGAGAGAAAGAGGGAGAGAGAGAGAGAGAGAGAGAGAGAGAGAGAGAGAACCGGCGATAGAGACTTACGGAGAGTGCGGAAAAGGATTAATGATTTTAAAGTGTTATTTTTGTCTGCCTTCATCATCAGCATCATTATCCACATAATCAGTTATGTGTCATCTCATTTCAGAACGTGGGTGATCATGGCTGTCCACATCTTCCTATTATTTGTATCTTTTAGTAAGATTTGCCTTTTCATCTTGCCATCTTGCCCCTAACATTTTGTTCTGCAATCTATTTGTACAAGTTTAGGTTACTCGTTGTTTTTCCTCTGCTCTTTTTTCTTTCATGTGTGTGTCTAATTCTCCAAGCTTTCTTTTCGCATTATGTTCCGTGGAAATTCAAACACTCTTCTTCTGTTTCTAAATTAAAGCATCCTTTCTTCTATCTTCCTTAAAACATCTGCCTTACTCATATATTCTGCCCATTCGCAGCATCCTTCTGTCGAAGAAGATCTCTGTTAGCCAACGACTCTTCATCTTTGAGGAAATTGTCCTGCATTCACTGCCATATACGAGGACCGATATTACATAACTGTTCAGTACTCATTTCTTTGTTTCTATCGAACTTTTCCTGTTTCTTAATACTATGCTTATCTTTTGAAAGACATCTTCCGCTATCCCAATGTATGTAATGTTTCACGGTAAATATACAAATAGTTACAAGTGTTTACCTACCGTTCAACCGGCGACTGGGACTTAAGTCATTTTTCTCTACCACCGTTCAACCGGCGATTTTGCATTAAGTCATTTTCGCTACCACCGTTCAACCGGCGACTTTGCATTAAGTCATTTTTCTCTACCACCGTTCAACCGGCGACTTTGCATTAAGTCATTTTTCTCTACCACTGTTCAACCGTTCTTCTCTTTCCCTGTTCAACTATTCATTTTTATAAACTCGTTAAGCCTTCAAACTGTATCCCTCCCGTTTTTCTTGCCTTCAAATTACCCTGTGAGTGTTTAATTTTCTAAACCCTCCTTTCTCATCACCTGTGCCAGAAATTTTTCTGATTGTAAGTACCAGGTCTGATAAAAATATATCCTTACTGTTTCTATAAAAAGAAAACAATAGCACATATAAGTTCAGTATTTAATCTTCTTCGAAGTCGTCCCTTTCTTAACCTTTTGAGCCCGGAGATCTTGAATAATTTTAACCCTTCTGCCTGAGCACCTGAGTCAAAATTCGCAAATAATTGATATGTAATGTTTCACGGTAGATATAAAAAAGGTTAGAAGTGTTTACCCACCGTTTAACCGGTAGCTGGGCATTAAGTCATTTTCTACCACTGTTCAACCGGTAGCTGGGCATTAAGTCATTTTCTTCTACCACTATTCAACCGGTGGTTGGGCATTATGTCATTTTTGTCTACCACCGATAAAGCAATTGTCAGGGCTCAAAAAGTTAAGGATTAGAAAGATGAATTTATTGAAATTTCATAAAATTAAATAAGTGGAGGGTAACAGATGTAAAATATATTTTTACTGAGATTTTCTCACGCAGAAACGTTCCTAAACGTTTCAAGACCCGAAAGTTTACGTTAAAGTAATGGATAGCGGCTCGGATTGAGGATTCGGAGAGCCGAGTTTGAATTCCAGTCGAATCCATTACATTCACTTACGTGCTAATATCCTTGGGAAAGCTATGAATCCTCCTCTTTTATGGGTAAATAGCAGAACACACCGTGTTCTATAGCCATGAATGGCAGCTGGTCTACCGTAGAAAGAAATGGCAACTTACTGCAGGTAAAACTGCCTCGTCAGTCATGTATCAAAAGATACATGATCGCCTAAGCGTGTATCACGCATGGCACATAACTAAAACGGAGAGCCGAGTTCAAATTCCAATCGAAACCATTACATTCACTTATGTATTAATACCCTTCGGAAAGGTATGAATCCTTTTCTTCTCCCCCCAGCTATGGGTAAATAACAGGACAGACCGTGTTCTATAGCCTTGGATGGCAACTGGTCTACCGCAGAAAGTAATGGCAACCTACTGCGGGAAAACTGCCTCGTCAGTCATGTATCACAAGATCACCTAAGCGTGCATCACGTATAGTTGATTACTGACTGAATTATCTGATTTCTGTAAAAAAAAAAAATAAATAAATAAATAAAAAAAAAAAAAAAAAATCCAACACAATGTGTTTTTCACCGTACACTCAAATTTCTCATTCTAATTTACGGTCTTCTGTTGACGGAAGAAAAAGAAAATACAAACTGCCCGAAGTTTGTTTCCACTAGTGGCCTAGTGAATGTAATGACATAGTTGTTGGGAGTTCAATCCCTGGGTGAGGCAGTATGTACTTGCACTCAGTCGAAACGGGCAAGCAATAACTGAACACTGTTTAGATTATTCAGACTATTATCCTCATCTTTGTCGCCATATTTATTACAACGTTTCGGACGTTGTACACTCCGGCCTTCTTCAGGTGGTTAGAATGACGAACTGAACCCTTTTTTTCGCTCACTAGGGTAGACTTTTCTAGTTCTGTTAATTCCTCGCTCAAGGGCACATGGCACAATGAATAAAGGCGTTAGTTAGATCCACTGACAGGATCCAAAGAGTGTGAGTTCAATACCTGGTTAAGGCGGTGGAGAACTTGGAGAGGGGAATTAACAAGAGATAACTAATAACTGACATTCATTAGACATGGCACGTGGAACTAGAACTTCTCTATCACAAATTGTTGTTTCGTAAGTTCCTGAAAAATAATGTATAATTTTCTTTTGGTATGTGTAATATGGCAGGTCGATTTTGAAAGCGTGGTAGTGCATTTAATTTGAAAGTTGGGGTTTGACATGATAAATAACGATACGAAATATTTCTTTTTTTTTCCAAATCGTTTTTGGTGAAAAGAATTTAATTCCGGTGATCAGTAAAAGCCTTATTGCACAGCCTTATAAAATTTATAATTTACTGAAGCTTTACATATCAGTGTGCCATCAAATAAGACCTTCATTTACAACAAAGGGAAATTATACTGAACAATTTAGCTATATTATGATGTAATATATTATACAGTGCAATAGTTTTAGCGAGATTTTCAATAAAGAATGCAAATTTAAAACATTTTGTCTTATAATTTTTCCCCAACAGTATTATGAAATTATATATACTTTTATCTATTGTTTTTATTAATTATGATCTAACAAAGGATCTAACAAATCTTATTCATTGAGTAGCCTTAGTTGCAATCCTTTAAAAATTTCTACGCAGATTCATCTTATGGAATACAGTAAATAAATATATATATATAAATATTATATATATATATATATATATATATATATATATATATATATATATATATATATATATATATTATAAATTAATTTTTAAAATATGTTTTTTTTTTCGCATCAAATTATATTAATGTACAATTGTTTTTTCCTTTTAATTGAGTAAACGAGTTTATCACTTCCTTTGTATTAATCCACAGTTTGAGGCTATTTATTAACAGTTATAAAAAAATGTTATGAAGCGCTACATGCAACTCTTTCCGAATCCTCTGAACTATCCTCAAATTGACACCCAAACACTCTGAAATGTTCGAATTGTTGCTTCCGGGGCGAATGCCAAGCAGTACAGAGTGCCATTTTCTAATTTCTGGCAGAGGGAATTGCGTTATGGTGCTCTTTTCCTTACCGTACTGCGCAGT